TGAAAATTTGCTCAACAACAACAAACCTAAGAAAAATCTAGAGTGTAAATATTCGCTTTATAAATAGTGAAAATAAAACCAAATTCTCTTCTGAAATTTTCTGTTGTAATCAATGGCATTTCTTTACAAAATTAAAGGTAACCCATAGCTGGCAATTTCTAGCTGGTTTGTTTGCTGGTGTGGTTTACGTTCACTAGATTACGGGGGGAGACAACTCGTGCTAACAGAGGGTACTCTGAGAAACCTTCCTAATCGGGACTAAAAAATATTTGCTTCATAGTGAACAACACCACAATACATGAAACAGAATGTACCACCCTAGTAAAACAACAAGTATATTACATAGAAAATCACTTTTTGTTTCTTCTCGTTTTCCTTTGTCGGGTTGTATTTTTGTTGGTATCTGGTGTCCAGGGAATAAATTCTATTATTTGTGATTGTTTAAAAAAATGATCGGAACTTGTATTGGGTTCTGTCTTCTTCTTCTTTCTCTTTGTGTTAATATCATGATTAGGTTTCTTCCTCTTTTTATCACCACACAGACGACCATGAAAGCACATACATGCTTCTAAAACACCATCAATATTATCTCCAAATTTGTGTTTGATTATATCAAACAACATGGCCGTATCAAAGGCTGCATCATGTGCAACACCTATTATATCTTTTGTTGTTGTATTCATTGGCTTGTTCACTTGGTTGAACAGTGTTTCAAGTTTCTGCTTAGGGAAGAATTCTTCGCTTATAGTATTCACTATCATGTACCTATCAATAGGTAAGCCATGTTTTGTCAATGCTTTCATGAGGAAATTTCTGTCCAATGATGTTGAATGTACCAATACAACAGCAGTACAACTATTGTTCTTTGTTAAATAATTGTGGATTGGAATGATAATTTGGTCTAATTGTTTTCCATTATTGATTTCATTCATTTTGTCAACATGTAATTTTTTAGCATGACTACTCCAATCATGGTATTTTGGTTTAATATATATTGAAAATGCACATTTGGAAATTAATGAAATCATTCCCACTTGCACTATTTCATGGTCATTTGGCATTAGCCCAGTAGTTTCTAAATCTAAGACAACAACATGATAATTTTCATTATTTTTCACAGATATTACGCTCTCTACAATATCATCATTGCTAATATCTATGTGAATTTTAGTTTCATTCAAATACTTTGAAACCAAATATTTTTCAATACCATTACTATTATTAAGTTGAGGAGTAATTATTTGATTGGTTGGTTGTTGAATGGTTGTACGTGTCGAACCATCACACGTACTGGAGTCCCTTATTGACAGTTGTGTAAGAGTACTCATTGTGTCTTGTGACTTATTGGATATAGAAGATTCTTCACATATTTTTTCTCTTTCTTGCTTATTAAGGTTAACACTGTTCTTTCGTACTTCAGAATCAGCTAAAAACTGTAATTCAAAATGTTTGCACTCTAATTCTCTAACTACAGATATAGCTTGTTGTTCACTAGTTATTTTATCAGAGTGCTTGGATAATAGATGATTCTTGAATTGGCCTTTCACAATATAAGGTTTTTGACGATCACATCCATTAATTGGGCAGCAAAGGAATAATTTTTTAGGGGCACATGATTCCATTCTGAGAGTACTTTTACGTACATATCCTTCAATATTATGATTTACCTTAGTCAACCATTTATCTAATGCATTAATTTCATCTTTAGTTAATTCTACAAAATTCGGATCAATATTTTTCAGATTTGGGAGAGACTTAATTTTAAGTTTCATTCCTCTATAATGCTCAGTCCATTCCGTTTCAGGAAGAGAAAATCCTCTCACCTCTTCTGAGCAAGATGTTAATAGGAAAATATAGAAGGCAATTAATATTGATGAACAGAATTGCTTTGCTGTGGCTCGTGGATACCTCTTTCTAATAATGGAAAACATTAGCTCATTATAATTAGTTGTTATACAACTTGGTCTAAAATTTGAATAGGTATTTGCAAGATATTGAAATCCTTCAATAGTATGAAGACAAATGTTTCTAGTTTTTTCAGGATATTGCTTGGCAGGAATATTTGAAAAATATTCTTTACATAATTCTAATTTATCAACAATGTCAACATCATTATCATTAATGACATCATACACTTCTCGAATAGTTTCTAAATATTTAGCCAAAATGGCAGCATCATTATTTCTGAGTGATTTTAACACTTCTACTACTTTTGGAGAGGTCAGTTCAAGACATGGATTAATAGCCATAATATCTGAGGGTGAGACTTCTTCTTTATCCAGCATTTCATATAGATGTGGATAATTATTCATCAACTTAATAAGTGTTGACATATTAATGTTTTTCAAAATTGTCCCATTGAACAAACAATTTCTTTGATTCTTGAAATTATGTACATAATCAGTCACAAATATGAAATTTGGATCAATTTTCTCTCGTAAAAGTTTCTGCAAATTTTTAGCATCTGCCTCACCATCTGCACATCCACACACCATTTTTAGAGAGTAACCTTTTAATTTTTCATTACATAATATCATTTTTTCGTAAATGAAGTCATTAATTTTGTCAGCAGAAGATATAGCAAACCATCCTAAAGGACAATGCCAACTGTTATCTATTGCATTAACATTAAAAAGTACCATTTCTTCAGTAACTTCACTAAGGTTGATATTATGGTTGGATGGTGGTGTTTTCACATTAATTTTTTGAGATGTTCCAATTACTTGACCGTTCATTCTTTCCAATTTTTTCAGAACCTTCATTCCATCCATTGAAACACATACTTCTTTACACGAATTAGGTTCTAAACTATTGAATACTGAATCAGAATATGTACATATTCCAATGCTTCCTTTTGGTAACCAGTTTTTCATGGTGTTGTTACTTGGCATCACTATGTTGTATTGCAGATTTGTTCTCCAATTACAAGGAATTTGTTGATTCTTTTTACCGGATAGTTGATTGAAAAATTGCTTTCCACTAAAATACCTCCCAAGAAACCAATACCGTTTCATTACTTCATCATATCTGTGAGCATTTGGGGGTAGAGTGAAATTTTCTAATTGGTTATGAAGAAATTTTACAAAAAAACATTCCTCGAATTTTCCAAAACCTTTGGATGATAATGGATTTTGTTTTTGAGGTGGAATGTGTGTGTATCTATCAGTTTTTTTGGATTGTTTGGATTGATCAGTATCTTTTTCAATGAATTCTTGCTCATTTTCAATTAATTCTTGCTCATTTTCTAGTAATTCTTGCTCACATTGCTTATTTTCAATTGTTGGATCTTTGTTCATTTTAATATGTTTTGATTTAAGACTTGAATTAATCTCATATTGTGCTTTGGCCTTCCTTAATGATTCTATTATTTTTGTTTCAAAGTTACTGGGCTCACACTTTCCCAAAGCTTTCGTAGTTTCACGTAATAGTTGATACATGACTTGAGGATATGGTATTATGGATGAATAAGGAGGAAGAGTATTTGGATTTTCTAGAATTTTATGAACTTTTTGGAGATTTGTATCTAGCTTGCTTTTCAAATCACAACACTTCACGCACGAGTCAGATTTTCTGTTTTTGTTGTGAATTTTTGTGCAGTCAATAGAACGTAAACATTTATTTACAATAGTGCCAGCTATTTTCCCACTTCCATCCATTACTTTGTTCTTTTCAACATCCAATAATATATCGAATTTATCATAATCAGTAATCCCCAAACAATTTTTATTTATTTCAACTTTGAATGATGATCGACCCATTTTTTTTTATTGATTGAATTGTTTTTAACGTTGATTCAGTTCCAACAAATACTCGAACAACCAAAATATGAATCGAACATGAGTTAGATGTTCAGTAACTGCGGAGAGGATCATGGTTTGGTGTGTTTTGTTGTTGGTTGTTGGTAATCTGATGTTTTTATTTGAATATTTAGTTGTTGATCATATGACAAAAAAGGAAAGGCGGGAAATGACCCTCCCTAGTGGTAGTTGAAGTCAGGTTGTCTCCCCCCGCTAGATTACCCATCAGTTGAGGAAAAAATTTATTTCCCACTTTCCAGCTTGCTTCCAACCCACAAAAATAAAACAAGAATTTTTAACAACAACAAGCTAAATTTTTATTTGTCATATATTCGTGTTGGTTGAAAGCCAACTCTAACCCATATTTTAAAAAACTCTAATTCTAACACCAATTCATATTCTCCAAAACCTACATGA